ACAAATTCACGCTTTGATAATACAGTTCATAATGGCACATAATTTTTCTTACATTTCATCTAGTGATGCATCTAAAGACATCCTGTTTTAGTTGCTCATACGTACAAGTATACGTGAGTAGTGCAACCACGAATTGAGAAATGAAGAGTATCAAACTTGAGGTAAACTTTTGTTATTAATTTTTTGTTCCATTCGCCAAACTCCTTTTTCTGTTAAATTCTAACGAGGACATTAATTTTACAATTATTCTTCTATTAGTGGGAGTGGTTTTGCTGTAAAAGTATCTACTTCAAAATCCGTAACTTCTGCTAGAATTCTAGTTTATAATCCTCGAATTTCTATATATTTTTTCTGCCTGACCCCAAGGAAGAGGCAATTAAAGTAATATTAAGATTTGTATATATACAAGATCTTTTTTATTTTGGTATTGTGTATATATTCATTATTACTTGTACGCTGGTGATTTCTGTCACTAAATATCTGCTCTTTCCTAAATTAAAATGTTTAAAATTAAATCCATTATATTTCGTGGTCCGATTGACCAAATAACTTCTTTCAATTAATTAATCTTTTTTGTGTAAGGTATTGATCTGAAGGTTGTGGATTCGAATCCCGCTCGTGACACTAGCTTTTTCATTTCAATCAATATCTTACATAAAAAGTTTAAAATTAAATTGATATAAAAATCTGATATGGGTCTGTAAAAAAAGAACATGAGTATAGTCAGCATATGTCGTACAAATTTTTTTATCCCAGTAATTTATCCATTACGTTTTACTTTATAAGCTAACGATGCCAATAGTGGACACCTTAAGAGAATGTTGGCAGTTTTCACCCCCTCTAGAGGACAGGCAAAGGAATGCGATTTATAACTAGCCAGTTAGAAAAGACCTTCAAATAATTATAAAAATTGGTCCGAGTTTTCTATCCGTTTTCTGATTCATCTAACCCCCAGGAACAGAGGGTGGCTCTAACTTTTCTGCTGCATTAGTATTTATCAATTCTTTTTCATTGCTATTAACATGATAGTAAATGTTGTTATCTTCTGTAATAGCCAGTAAACAATTGTTTTTTGTTTAAAAAAAGGGAGTTTCATTTGAATACTTCCTACCTGTGCGCTTTGAGATAATGTGTAAACCACTAGTTTAAGCTGTACAGATACTCTACTAATGGTTATATTTTGAGCAATTCGTTTTGAGATGCTTGAGTTTCTCCTTAAAAATCCCTGAAACTAAGTTCTGCCAGAGCGACCATCAACAAAATTATTTTTTCTTTTCATATCCTTAAGATTACTACGCTATTAAGATATGTTATGTAAGATGTGTTATCTTGTTGTACAGAGAAAACAGCACTGGCAGTTGCTGAAATCCGTTTTACTAATTTCTACTAATTTTATTTCTTCATTTTTGAAAAGAACTGGTGAAGATCCCATTTTTTAAAAGTCAGTATTACCACTTTTATCAATGAAACTATGTAAGCTCGTCCTTGTACATTATGCTTTTTAGCTGATGTAGAAAGTGGCACTTACTGATTGTTGTTGCTAAATGCTATGCAAGTTATCAAGACGTCATAATTGGCTCCACAGTCCACCTAATTCCAGCTTTGATTTGGAGAGGCAATCATTTTCAAATTTTGAGTGCAAAGTTTCCACTAACGGTTCAGATGACTCATTTCCAGCATTTTTTTTTTCAATTATACTACTTTCAATTACGGTTCAATTTTTACATTGTACTAATTCTATGGAAAGAAGGTTGAACAGAAAAGTTAGCACGAGTGGGACTATTGGATACTCTGATACTCTACTACTGAATATTGTGGCATTTGGCCCACGAGACGCCATGTCAACGTACAATTATTTTAAATTTCCTCCATTATTATAAAACAGCTGCTCAACATTCAACGTAATTAACAACAAGGGATGTTATCGATGTGGGTAACATTATTAATTGTCTATTTATTTTTATTTCATTATCTTAATTGTTACATTTTTAATATACATTTTGTGCAAAGAAGGTTGAGATGAAACTCAATGACATCTAGCCCCTGGTCTGATTCCCAGGATTATTTAGACTTTGATAGTGAAAAGTCTACCTCGTCCGATTTTTTAAAGATTGCTCAGTGAACGAAGGACAGAGTGCAATAGAAGCCTCGATTCATTTCTGCAATAAACTCATAGTAAACAACTTCAGATTAAAAAAAAAAATCTGATGCGATATTTTTCTCGAAGGGTCTTCATGAATTCTCCCCTAGCATTGCAGTTTGTGCATGGCTGAGTTGTATGCGATTGGGCATGCCCTTGGAGTTTTACAGTTCAGTGATGATTCATCATGCTTTTGTTGAAATGTCTCAGAAAACCCGTAGTTGTACCTGAGGCAGCATACGCCGGTATGATCAACCCTCCAGACCTTTCTCTCTCAATCCAACTCGCTGATGCTAAATGAGCAGTAAAGGATATAGCAAAGAAAAGGTGGAGGCGTCAGTGGACTTGGTTGTCCGAGGCGGTCGAAAAGTGGCCCCCACAGAGTCCAAATTGCAGAAGTATCATCCAAATCTGACTCAGAATCAGCCATATGTGTTTGACTCAAAATTTGCAGTTTCCCACTTAATTTAATGGTGTCACTCCTTGGCTCCCTATAGAGAGCAAGTAGGAATACCACCTGAATAATTGGGCTCGGGTTTCCAATTTTTGAAGGAAACTGGCATTTCTATAAATATAGATTTGTTTTATCGCAGTTAATCTTATAATTATCATTATATATTTTTTTATTATTGTATATGTAACCAGTTTGGTGATCTATTCTTTGTGAATATGTGTACAAGAGCGTCGATGGTGTAATATCGAGTACACCATCGACCTTAATGAATGAAATAGACTACTTTGTGTGTGTAGTTATTTATATTGAGCACTCCGTCACCCAACTTGAGAATATGTAAGTAAAAACACAATGTATTTAAGAATGAGTGGTGTGTTTAGGTTAAAACTGCATGCGTAGGGGCTCAAATGACCTCATCAGCAGCCCCTGGAACTTCATCGGTGGTTTGGACCGAAGTCTGACCCCGGACTACCAAAACGTTGTTGTAGGTGATTCATTAACATTTATTTGTAATTTGTTGAAGTCATGAGGAGCGGTCATTATATTTGTAATTGAAAAGTGAGGCTTATTGTTGTTGTCTCTATATTTTTTCCATTGTCTGCTTTATCTTGTAGTTGATGTAGGTATCTAATTTAGACGATAAAAAGTTTTCTTTAATAAATATTTATGGAATTTTTTTTGTATGATCAAAAACAAAAATATTATTTATAATCTTTTCCTATATGGATGGTTTTAACTTGTATGAATAATTACTTTCACAGCTTATTCATTTATAGAACGTGTTGCAGTCTTATTAATTCATTTAACAAAAAGTTATACATTTTTAACTTCAAATTAACCCCTTTTAACTTTGAGTTAACGTTTTGAATTTCAAATTTAACCCTTTTCAACTTAAAATTAACTTTTTTATTTCAAATTATCCCTTTTTAACTTCAAATTAACTTTTTTTTTTAAATTTCAAATGAACTCTTTCTTCAAAGCATTAAAAAACTTTGGAAATGGTAAGAAATATGAGCGTGTAAAGTAAAATTCCTTCTTGGAAGATCACATGAAAATTAATTACAATTAAATTTAATAATTAGAGACCTGATCGTTTTTANATTATTTTGATTAAAGAACATTGCTTTAAAGTAACTAGTTTCTTTTTTTTTGTTTAATACCAAAATCCTGCATTATTTTCCGGACAACCCAATAATTTAATTTTTTTAAAATATAAATGGGTTTTATCTAAAATACCACATGAAAATTTTACAATTACTATTAAAACTAAAATTAAATATATGTATGTAAAAATAAGTAATACTTCTATTAATTCTAGATTTTTTAAAAATATAAAATACGTGAGTATAATTATTTTATATTTTGAAAAAAAAATCTAGAATGAGTGGAATAAATAATCATTTGTTTTTATATAACATAATTTCAATTGTAATTAATTTGTATGTATTTGTTATGTATTTATTTTTTCAATTCACGAATTAAAGGAAACATTCTGTATTTTTATATCTAATTTTATATGCCATTTTATTTTAATTTTCATATGGCCTTATAAGAACCCACTTATATTACATTTAAAACAAATTCCAAAATAAAGTCGTTTTACTTTGCTTGCTTACATTTGCATCTCCTGAGTTTTTTTAATGTTTTAAAGAATGGGGTTAATTTGAAATTAAAAAAAGGTTAATTTGAAGTTGAAAAAGGTTAAATTTGATATTCAAGAAGTTTATTTGATATTAAAATGATAGTTTGGTGTGTATTTAATTGTATTTTAAAAAGGGATGAGGACAATTAGGAAGGAATAAAACGTCAGTTAGTAATTTAAAAGGTTAACAAATATTGGACATTATTCACAATTTCAAAATGTATGGTTACAAAATATTCAATATTAACTTGTGGTGATTAGTGACTGTTAGTCGACGATTATTCAGAAATCGTGAGATGCGGTCTGGTGTGACGTAGGTTTTAGAAAAACATTTTCTTTATCGTCCCAACGTTTCAGTCTTTATTGATATCATCTTCAGGGCCTGGGATTTACAAACATTGTTTAAATTTAACAAATACATGTAGGATGTGGAAAAAAGTGAATTTATGCAATATTTAATATTAACCTTCCTTGTTTTCATCACAATTCTGAATTTTGTCCCAAAGTTAAATATAATTTATGTTTTACTGAAAGCAGGTCTATTTACATAACTATCAAATCGTTCCATATCATAATGTATATTTTGTTGTTATATACATGTTTTTTAGTGTTAGTGAATAGTTTGTCATGTTTCCCCATTCACTAATAATTTACACAAATTAAATTGTTCTAAAACATTTCTCATTTAAAATCACAATTGTGAGTATTCAAACTGTCTCCACTGTTTTTGTTGTAAATAAACAAATGTTATTAAACACTTTCAGGTCCAGGTCCGGAATGTGGTACAAAATGTGCAAATGGAGGTTGGTGTTTCAGATAAAAAAGGGAAAAAAATTTAAAAATAAAAAAGAAAGAAAAGAAAATAGCAATAAATAATAATAATACTCCTTCTTTTTGAAGATTATAATTGTAATATTAAAGTTCCTCATTCGTTGATATACAAATTAAGCTAAACCTCTCTTCCTCTCAAATTTTTTCATTCTTCTATGGCAAAAAATAATTCAAATCGTTTCAGGTCCTGATCCAGAATGCGATAAAAAGTGTGCCAATGGAGGTTGGTGCAATCATGACAAAATCTGCGTATGTAGAGAAGGATATATGGGCCAGTATTGCCAGACTGCGTTATGCTATCCTCAGTGTATGAACAATGGTACTTGCACTGCCCCGGGTACTTGCACATGTCCTTCAGGCTTCCAAGGGCGACACTGCGAAGGGGGTAATTGTGAACATATTCAACTTATAGATTTATTACCTGAATAAATTAAATTAACAACATAATTGCTAAAATATGTCCTATTTATGGCTGTATTGCAAGTGTTTCTATCCTATTTATAAAACAAATATAAAACAGAGTAAATAAAAAATTGAAAATACTTTCTTAATTAATATGATTACAATTCTGTCAACTTTGGGTTTAAAATTGTATTGTCGTGTCTTGCCCACTGAAGTCCCAGGGCAATCGACAACTAGTCAAAAAGACAAAAAAAAAAAAATTTAAACATGGGCTTGATGTCCAACTAAATTTTGCGTTACACACAAGTGGTCAGAACCACTTTAAAGTACTTGTTCCCTGAATTATTGGTTATACAGAAAATGATGCAGGTTTTTTTTTTCCAGTTACTCTTCTATACAATAAACTGTTTACATTTTATGTATTATTTTTTGTATGAATGTCAACACTTTATAATCCTCTTCCAACCAAAAATGTTTGTATACCTCAAGAGCATTTCGTTACTTGAGAATAATTCAGTTTTACTAAGTTGTCAATGCATGATTTTTGCATAATTTCATTTAATGGAGTTTAAACTCAGTCAAAATGGTGCCCAAAAGGCTGGAAACATTAATGAAGTCTGGGGTGATGGCAGTGTGACTTCTTTACATTCTTCTAATATTTAATAATAGTTTATTTTATTTTTTTAAAATAATTATTGAAAAGATTTCTTCTTCTGACAGACATTACTGAAGAAAATAAATTCAACAAATACGTAGGCCGAGTCATATAACACCTTACTCGGTGATTCAACTTTGTCACAAGTTTTTCTAATTCTCAAGGATATTTAAGTCTGAGCTTTTTTAGTTAAATTTAAATCATAAAAAAATCACTACTTCTACAGCCACCTCCTGGCCAATGGTGGTATTCCTCAATCTCACAGAAATTGTTTTTCCTATTTTAATAATAAAAACTGAAATAATAACACAATTACATTTTATTTTTATATTTGGTCATTACAAAAACATACAATGAAAACATACAAAAAAAAACATACAGAGAAAGATAGGACCAATTATAGTCAATTTTCACAAACTAACATCGTTTTTTTGTTTTGTTTTTCAATACGCATAAGTATTTGCCATTTGATGATTATCACAACTTTAACTATAAATATTTAAACTTTAAATCTTCTTTGATATCTCGATTGCAGTTTTACATCCAAATTTGATAACAGCCGTAAGTACTTCGTAAAATGGTGCTTCGAGAGCTCCATATTTAATTCCGATGTTGTGGTGCTCTTGCTCTTCATCACGAAATTTTGTTATTACCTTGAAATTAAAATATATAATTAATTTTTTTATTTTATCATTGACAACTAATAAAATTTTGACTGTGGTTATATTATGCATACTGTATATTTTACGATTTGTCAGATTTCCTCTTGTGGTCTGCTGGTTAATGAACCTGTAATTCGATCGTTATTGACGATCACAGACCATCTCAGTGAGGATAGGCAAAGTAAAATAATTAGTAACAATCAAATTACATGCTTTACAATCTAGCTGTTTTTTTTTTTTTTTTTTTTTTTTTTTAAGGATTACGGATGAATGATTTTAAAAATCCTTTCCTCCACTGTGACCTATGTAGATCTATTTGGAACCTATAAATTATAATCATATCTTTAAACAGTTTATTTTTCCGCACTTTCCTTTGTGCCTCTTATGGGACGCTGTACATTGACAAAGGATATGTGCTGATGTCTCTGGTTTCACCTGACATGAGTCTGCATGTTTCTGTCTCTTTTTTGCCCATCTTCTTTAGGCAGTAGTTAAGATGGCAATGGCCGGTATAGAGGCCTCTACTTTTCCTCAAATCCTACCTGTTGAGAAAGAAGAGTTCCTTCGCCTTACTTTTTGAGAGATTTATAACTTTCTTAGCTTTCCTCACACGAGTTTTTCTTTCTCAAGCCATTTTTCTAATTTCAACTTCAGCACACACTCCGATGCACCTAATTGTGGTTCTGAGCCCAGGCTGCGAGGGCTGTCCCTTTTTTGGTTAGTTGCAGTCTGATCATTTTCTTCTGTACCTGTACCCTTTCGGAAGGGTCTGTCAAAGTTGAGTTTTTCTCTCATTTTGAAGTAGATCTGTCGGCTTTTGTACACAAATATGTAAGGAAGGTGAGTGCAGTTTCCAACGCTGTAGTGGGGGGGCAGGTATGCATTGCCCCTTTTATATTAATTTCCGGTTTTTATGCAAAGACTGTTGAGAAGAGAAATTAGTGTCATGAACGGGATTCGAATCCATGACCTTGGGCTAAATACACCAGTGCACTAACCACTTGAGCTAGCAGGACTTTGATTCCCTGAGACACCAACTTCTCTCAACCAGCTATTATTTAAATGTACTCTTTACCGCCAATAATTGCTTTTATATCAAGAGACAAGACAAGTTCTGTATCCTTGTTCATTGTTTTTGGCCGCTATACTACAGCTGTGTGACTAGGGGTTTTGGTATATAACCAATACACCATCCTTGGGTTTATTCCACAATTTTTGAAGCATAATCTCTCACCAATGCTTAGTAGAACCTTGTCTTTATGCAGAACATGCTTTCAATGTATCTAAGCATCTTGTTTTTATCTTTTGAATTTTCTGATGGTTGAACATGAGTAATTTTTTCAATGTAAAACAATCTTTTTCTCTTGATTTTGCTTAAGAGTTGCCTTCCTCTAGTAACTAATGACAATATTTTATAATTTGATCCTTACCGATGATCTTAATTTACCTACTGGATTGTCAGATGTGTATTTCCTTTGATTTGATTTAATTTTCAATGTCATGCCGTGCTTGACTTATTGAAGATTGTGAGACAGACCAGCCCAGCTAGGATAGGTAAACAAAAATGATCGGTAAGAATCAAATTACAGGTAGAAGGTTGGCTATTGGATTTAAATTATTAAAATTTGTAAAATATCCAGTATTTGTCAATGCAAACTTAAAACTAAAACTGTATCTGATTGTGAATAATACTATTTACCCTTTTATGATATCTTGACTTATAATAATCAATTAAACTGCTATCATTTTGAACATTCTGATTTGATGATTCATTCCAAGAAAGCAAATTTGTTTTCTTAAAATCTGGATATAATTTTTTAAAATGAAGATTAGGTTTTCCAATAATGAAATCTAAACTTGCAGGTTAGAATTTGGAACAATTTTGTTGATTTTAATTTTTTTTTTTGATGATTTATTATTATTGTTTTGTTAATATAGTGACAAATAAAATTGTATAATAAATCACCCATAAAACAATATCTTCCATAAATATTTTTCATTTTTAATTCAAGGTTTTCTATGTAAATGTATAAAGTTATGTTAAAACATATTTAAGATGAACAGGAAAAAAAAATAATAGAAAAAAAAATACCTTAAGCAATTCCTCCTTAGAATCAGAACTGCTGTTCTTCTCTAGTAGATAGCGAAGTTGTTCGTTATAATGATCGACGATGACCGATTCCACAGCTACAGTACAAGCCATTGCACCTTTTTTACCCAACAAAGCGGAACCTAACAAAAGTCCTCATGTTTATTCAAATTAGACTAATGTTCGTTAAAAAATTTCCACCTGCGCCTAGCATAAATCCCATTGCATCCCACAAAGGGAGTAGTGCAGTTGGTCTCACTCTATGTTTGACTATTAACTCTTCAAAGGTCTTTTTGTGAACGATTTCTTGCTCCCACATCTTTTTGATCATCGGTCCGGCAGTAGTGTTGCCTAAACATAAATTTACAACAAAATTTGAAGAAAAAAACTTGTTTTTAAATTAAGTGCTAATATAATAAAAAATATATGAAGTACAGAGAAACTTGTTTTGAAGATGATAGTACTAATCTTGAGAATATACCTAGTACTGCCATTTGCCCTGCATAAATTCTGTCTGCGCCGAATTCGCCGGCGTGATCCACTCTGATAATACTGTCAACATCTTCCTCAACGCGTTTTTGGAATGTAGGTTTAGGTTTCACATCAGCTGAAGCGCTTTGCATTCCTCTTTGCCCGATGATAGTGAGCGGGCGAATAGTTCTTGAGACAAACATGACTGTTTTTCTTCAACCTTAAAAACATCTTTTATAAATATAATTATTTACTATTATGATTATCAATTTTATATTAATTACTTCTAAATTGAATGAAAATAAAACAGATTTTTTTTTAATATAAGTTTTCCTCGCTTGCAGGTATTTGCAGTCAGAAATGTGAAAACGGAGGAAAATGCGTGCAAAAGGATTCTTGCGATTGCCCTAAAGGCTTTTATGGCTTAAGATGTGAATTCTGTGAGTAATTCAATATACACATTTAACTGACAGCTGCAACTCCTCAATAGTACATTTTTTAAATTAAATCGCAATCACGCTTTTTAGAAAAATTTCAAAACTTCTCACATGCACATAAAATGTTAATTAATTATTATATGTTGAGGTGTTTTTTGTTTTGTTTTTTTACAGCAAAATGCATTATCCCATGTGTCAACGGTGGCCGATGCAAGGGAATAAATAAGTGCAGATGTCCAAGTGGTTTCCGTGGCGATCACTGCGAAATAGGACGAAGATTACCTCAAAAGGGCACTTGCATGGTGTCGTGTAAACATGGAGTCTGCCTTCATAACGACACTTGTTTATGCGATAGTGGCTGGGGAGGAAGACTTTGTCAGACAAGTAAGTTAACGGTTTGTCAATTTTAACCCTTTGTGGACAGAGTCACTTCGACAAGGGGTAAATGCGAGCAGTTTAGAAACATATAACGGTTTATAAAAGCTAAAACTTTATTTAGATCTGACAAGAAAACATGTTTGAACAGTCTGCCATTCAACCTTTCTGCTCTCACCAAAAGTTAATGAAGTTTTCTTTGATGATTTGAAATAATCAATATCTGTGAACAACTCTTGAGACCGACGTAAATTGTATTTTTTTGTGTGGAATGATTTTGCAACATTCTTCCATTCGTTGTCGAAGATTTCATAATTTTTATCAATTTTCAGTTCATCACTATCTGATTTTTCATTGAAACTATTCTGCTTTTGTGTGATGCACTTTCATTCGTTAAAAAACAAAAAAACCAGACACTTGTATTTATTAGATTATTTTCCATGATAACTAGGTATAAAGATTAACATAAACGCAGCATTAATAATGAAATACTTTATGTCTTGCCTCTTTTACTTAAGTTTCCCCTGTATTTTTAGTTAGTATGTGAACAGGTCCATTTGATTTTATATATTCTTATTTTTATTATTATTTTTTATAATCTATTAAAAAAAAAAATCAGTTCTTATAAAGGCGAGTAATTTATTTTGGCAACAACTTCCAGTATACGTATTTCCTATTTATGCCGTCAATGATTTGTTTGTTAATTATGCACACTTTTATCAATAAAACTCATGAATTTCTGATCATGTTTAACGTGGTTTATGTGAAAATAAGTATGCTTTAATTAATATAATTATAAAAATACACATAGTTTGAAATAAACGCCAAATGCAAGTGTCCGGTTTTTGTCATTCAGTGTATAAAAGACTCAGTCATCATTCCACATCGTGAATTTACAAGATAATACCTGAAACTTCTCTAATTCCCTTTAAAAAACAAAAGTAATACAGTTTAATCCGTTATTCCCATGTGTATTTTATTCAAAAAGATAAATGCGAGAACCAATTTATAATATATGTGTATTATTAAGCCACTATTTGCCAACACTCATTCCCAAAAGGATGGTGGAGAGAGAGAGAGAGATATTCTTACTCTTTGATGTTAAATTTTGATAAATATTTACTTACTTAAATTCACTAATTTCGTGGTCCGCTTGACCAATTAATATATTACAATTAATTAAGGTTTTTAGTTAAGATAAAAAAGTCAATGGCACGAGCGGGATTCGAACCCACGACCTTCGGCTAAATACGCTGCCTCTCTACCACTTGAGCTATCGTGGCTTCGATCCACTCGGACACTAACTTCTCATCTCAACCCCACCTTTTGAATTTTCCCTCCTTTTTGCCATTTTTATCTTAACTAAAAACCGTAATTAATTGTAATATATTAATTGGTCAAGCGGACCACGAAATTAGTGAATTTAATGATTTAAAATGAAGTATACTTCACTAAAGCTCTCTGTGGCCATTTCATTTGTCGTTGAGAATCTAATCCGATTACACGACATTTGAAAAATGGCAAAAAGGAGGGAAAATTCAAAAGGTGTGGTTGAGAATGGGAAGTTGGTGTCCAAGTGGATCGAGGTCACGATAGCTCGAGTGGTAGAGCAGCGGCGTATCTAGCCAAATCCCGCTTGTGCCATTGACTTTTTTTTATCTTAACTAAAAACCTTAATTAATTGTAATAAATATTTACGTTTTGTTTCAGGAACGCATGTAAAGGGATCTGTGCCATTGTATTCAGATGAATATTCATCGGAAAGCTTTTAAGTTAGCGTGCAATAACGTAGACATCGCTCATAAAATAACTCAAATGTTTAGATATTAAAAACAAAAAAGCAAATACCTAAATGCCATATTTTTGTACATTTGTATATAAAAATTAAGGATCTAATATATTTTCAAATTGTATATTTTGTAACAAATTAAATCTTTGTATTGAGTATAAATATGTAAATTTATAAATTGAAGAAAAAAAATTGAATCTAAATTTTTTTATGTATTATACGTATGATTTGTATTGATCTAGGCATATGCATACAAATTGTGATCTAAAAAGACTTTTATATTGGCACTGTTGATCTAATTGTAATAAATTAAATTAGCTTTAAATGTTCATTATTGGTAAACAAACCTTTGATCAATTTATCACTACTTGAACGCAAACAATCTACTGTGAGATTTCTTCATCGACTGACGGGGCAGGGGCATACAGGTGCATTGAAGATGGCAAAAAGCCAATACGAGTTTGGCATAACCAGTACTTTTATCCTTACTTGTGTAGGTCTGCCTATTACTAAATGTTAGATGCATTTTGGCATCTTCATTGTGTCTACATAAGTAAGGGAGGAAGCAAAAAAAAAAAAAAAAAAAAGCTGATGACACAGCTGTCCTATCAGTTAGAAATGTATCCATGCAAACAATTGCAGATGGCAGTCAACAGCATCCATGACTGGACAGATACTTGAATGGTCAAAATAAACGACCAGAAATCCGTACAAGTAACTTTCACATATAAAAAATTAATACATTTGTAGACAAACCAATTGTCTTCATTGGTAAAGTAGTTCCATCCTAGAATTCAGTTAAATATTTAGGCGCAATAGATAAAAAATTAAATTGGAAAGAACATATCAAAAAGGAAAGGAAAGAACTTGATTTCATATACTGCCAACTTTATTGGTCGTTGGAAGGAATGCCTGGTTATAAATACAAAATAAAATCATAATTTACGATCACATATTACAACCAATATGGATTTATGGTATGTATACAACGTGCCAATGCTCCTTGGTATGTTCGCTATAGATTACATACAGAGATTTGAACATCCCCCACTTGACATCCTTCCGATCAAAAGACCTCTGACGAATCGTCAAGTGTCTTACTATGTCACTAATCTTACTATCCACAACAGAGCTCAACACCCCATTTGTCAACAAACTGATCCGTTCCCAATTCCAAAAGTTTTACACCAAAATTGTGAAGCGTTCCCTATGGATTGAGCCCTCTGTAGCCATTCCCATCCCATGAATCCACCATGTCACCTTAATCGACGATGACGACAAGACCTCCTTGCCACTTAAATCCTAACACTGAGTGCCAGCGTTAGCTGGTTTCTCATGGTGTGTGCCCTCAATAAAAAAGTCAGTGTCACAAGCAGGATTCAAACCCACCACCTTCGGCTAGATACGCCACTAATTTATCACTTGAGCTATCGTGACTTTGACCCTCTCGGACACTAACTTCCCATCTCAACCCCACCTTTAGAATTTTTCAGTGAGAGGATCGTAGTCACGATAGCTCAAGTGGTAGAGTAGCGGCATATCTAGCCGAAGGTCGTGGGTTCGAATCCCGCTCGTGACGCTGCCCTTTTTATCTCAACTAAAATCTTAATTAATTGAAAGATATTAATTGGTCAAGCGGACCACGACGAGTGAATTTAATAAGTTTAATTGAAGTACACCTTCACTAAAGCTCTCCGTGGCCATTTCATTTGTCGCCGAGAATCAAACAGATTACACGACATTTGAAAAATGGCAAAAAGGATGGAAAATTCAAAAGGTGAAGTTGAGATGGGAAGTTAGTGTCCGAGTGGATCGAAGTCGCAATATCTCAAGTGGTAGAGCAGCAGCTAGCTGGCCAACTAGCCAAAGGTTGTGGGTTCGAATCACGCTCGTGACACGACTTTTTTATCTCAACTAAAAACCTTAATCAAATAATTGGCCAAGAGGACCACGAAAACTAGTGAATTGGCATTAATGTTAGTGCTGAGAGAAAAATCTTTGCAATCACATTTGTAATATGCATAGGGTACAAATATAATGAAATAATTTTTAAAAAATTTTGCATCATTTTGGCCTTGCAATTTTCATCTACTTTTTCCGAAAAAATTTCTCCTCAGAACTTGCGAAAGCTTGTCTCTGCTCTTCGGCTAGTGTGATTGAAGTAAAGTATTTTATACTCTCCCCAGTTGCTTGTTATTTTGCTTCTTTTGAAGGCTTTCCTGGTTTCGGCTCTCAGCCTACCGGAGTGGTTCTTGTTTCCTTCTGAATTCTTTCACAAGGCAATCCTGAGAGTTCTGTACTGCAATCAAATTCATTGTAGATCTTTGGCATTTTTTCACTGTTGGTGTCAAGGTTGTGTTGGATTATCTAATTAAAACAATATATGTTCAGACGACTCTTCTTGACAGCATGTTTCCGTCTCAGTTTTAATTTAATAATCGCTCCCTTCACGCCGATTTTTTTTTATTGCCTGGCCTGAGATTCTTAGTTTATATTATTTTTTTTTTTAAATGTTTATATCGCTTTTCATGTATAGCTGATTGATAATTCTTTTGAATCAGTGGATCTTTTTTTTCACACTTGGAAAAGATTACAAAGTAAGAATTGAAGGATTTCACCCCGCCGATAAGAGAAACAAAGAGATGTTTGTTATAAAATGGTAAAATACAAAATTAAACTGTCTGTGAAATATGTTTTTGAACGAGGTCTGAATCATAAGATTTCCATCTCCGATTGGTGACTTTTAACATAAAAGCTTACCTTTCTTTTCAACAAATTGTCTCTCCTGACAAATCCTCCAGAGTCTTGTCGAGGATTTTGAGTTTTTTTTTTCTTGTCCTTTTTTTCCCCTCCCTGAATTTAATTATTTTGAACCGGCTTTGATTGTCAAACGGACGATCGCTAAACAATTGAAACTCGACGCTTGTTTACTCACACAACGTGATTAATGATAACGTTTTGATAAGAAGATTGGAAAGTTGAAACCCGATTGAAACTTCCTCCCGCGTTTGGCGGATTTCAAAAAGTTCAACCGTGTATAAAAATTAGCATTTTCATACCTTAAAATCAATTTGTTTTTTAAATTTTCCAAGCAGTGTACACTTACGCATCAGTAAGCCAACATAATTTTAAATCGTAATATTAAAATAAGTTAAAAAATATTACTGCAATCCTTAGAGATCACAGTTCCACACTTCAGATTAAACTAGTATTTAAAATTAAATAAAACAATTCTTATTGATATTAAAAATAGTAATGTTAGGGATTACACAAGACCAATGCTTCATATGAAATCCACGTCTAATCAAAGCCATCCCTAACCAATTTTGACACCTGGGTCGGTGGTGTTTTGGACAAGGCTGCAGGCTAGACGATTAGGCTATTAAGTGGTACTCATCAAATCCAGAACTTTAGTGTGAATTCTAAGACGGAATTTTTGCTAATATCATCCAATGTTTATTCGACCTTAAAAATATGAATAAAGAAATTGTAATATGCTGGGTTAAGGGTCATTCAGGGGTGGTACCCAATAAAATAGTTGATGCACTAGCTAAGCGGGCCACTATTGAAGTCACTTTACTAGATATAAAGCTACCTATAAATGACGCTTATAATACGTTTTTAATTAGAAATAGGAACAGATGGTAAGAGAGCTTTGACTGCGCCCGAACAGGTAATTATTATAGGTCTACGTTTCCTAGACTTAGGCATATGCCCTGGTTCATCCATAGTACAGAGGGTAGCAAAAAGTATTTTTCTACTATCACCAGGTTATGAATGAATCATGGCATTTGTGGTGTTAATTATGACTTAATTAACACGGCATTTATGTTAGAGCTTGTTTCGTTGAGATTAGTTTTCCAGTGTGTACCGTAGGCTTAAAAAAATAAATTAAATAAAAATTTTGGCGTGGATATTTGCAGCTGCTTGCCTCATGATGGTATATGTGGAGCTTCTCATCTTTGATTAGGATGGGTTGACAAATGGATCTTTTCCATAAATTTGTGATCTGTAAATTGGGTTATTATGATGTTTTTATATGCAGGAAAGTCGTTTATGTAAATAATGTAAAGGAACGGTTTTACGAAGGTTGAGGCGAGCATAAAACATCTCATACTTTCTGCTTTGTACAAATTATAAAAATGTTTTTTATTAGATAGGTGCAGATAGCAAGGTTAAATGTTTATCGTCATAGCTTTTTTTTTGAGTAAAAAAAAAAAAAAATAGCCCTTGGTGGAATAAAGCAATGATGAGCCTTCAAGTTGCCACTCCCTGGCTGATGCTACATCTGCAAGGACAACACTTGAAAAACTAAAAAAGGGTGTGAAAAATTTTCTAGCATTGAAATCCAAATTTGGATAAATTTACCAGTCATAACTTGAACCCTTTTAGTGAAAATTATCTAAACTTTAAATAAAGTAAACGCTCACATCATCATCATACCTCAGATGCATCATAATCCCTTCGCGATTGTCTGGATTGTGCCTTTTACAAAAATAAAACCCAGGGAAAATACACAATTTTGTCCAATACAACAATAAGTATAAAATGAAAGTGTTTATAAATAAACATAATTAATGAGGGGTTAATTAGTAGCTTGGAAACAAACAGGGGTTTCAATGTTTATTTGTTGTGCAAGGAAAAAAAAAATTTTTTTTTCCATAGCGCTTACTTTTCCAAATTGTCTATTTAAGAAATTATAGAATTTGAAGGAAACTGCTTGTTTAAATTAAAAAAAAAAAAAATCACTTAAAAAATCGCTCTTTTGATTCAAAGGGCAATTTGTCTACTGAATATAAAAGAAAATGTAAAAACATCCTCAAAAACCATCAACAATAGCAAAAATGATTGATTTCTGAGGACACAGTTGCTAAGAATAACTAACTGTTTTTTACAGTTGAATACCCCTGGTCTGACCTCCTAGTAAGCAAGTGATATACTTTATACTTGTATGTTGTAAAAAAATTAATAATAATTTGGGATCAAACCCACCATTCAAGGCCTGACAAGCCAAACTTAAAAAAAAAAAAAATCAACTCCCCTGAAAGAAGCGGAACTCCACTCTACACTGATATTCCTGATCAAGACAACAAATTTATAAAGATAAATATTAAAAAAAGAAAAAAAATATGTATATTGTAGGGCTTTTTCAGGATTGGATCGGATAAAGAAACCGTAGACTTTTCGTTTTTAAACACACGCTCTTTATTACTCTATACATAAGCACTTGTAACCAATAACCTTCTTAGAAGTGACCAACAGATTTAAGTACGTCACCTTGGCGCAACTTTCAAATTTATTCTCCTACAATTCGGCCAATTCTGACCCTCGANCGAGTTTCTCCAGCTCTCCCCACTTCATCATCGCTGATACTTCTTCGAATTCCTTTATCCACATCTCGATCGGGTATTTATTTTCTCCTGAAAAGGGTTTAATCATTTCTTCCACATCCCTGAACGTGAGTGTGAACTTAGGACGATATTCTGACGAAAGCTTGACTCGTTCCTCAGTTTCGTGTTCGACCTCTTCATCCAGGTCGGACGCAGTACCTAATTCGTCTTCGAGAGCTAGTCCAAGTCTATCCATAAGATCACCTTTCTCACCTCGGTGAATCGAATCCCACTTCTGAAAATCAACTATCCTAATCTAATTAAAATAATATAAATTTATTTAATAAGATCCATAAATACATTGTTGTCTATAAAGTGAACAACAGTAAAAAAATTAAATATATATACATATAAAATAATAAAGTCGGACAAATCTTCTTTCTTGTAAGTCATATCAAAAACAATTCTTTCTATTACAAACTGTCTCATTAATATCTGTAACAAAAAATATAATTACTGTTCTAATATTAAATAAATTGACTTATTGATTATGGCACAAATATTATCATTTGACCAGCACTTTCAACAATTTGTCTTACTTATTGTAAATTTATTTTAGTACTTTAATCGCAACAATACCCACTAATTGACACTGGCAGACAAACGGCCCTAAGCGTTTGTTCATAAGAATAAAAATTAGTTTCTCATAGAAAGAATTAAAAAATTCTAAAAGAATCCAATGATGAATCAGCTTTGTCTAGTATTTTTTTTTAAATAAACAACATTTGTTTGGACTAATAGTTGGACAGATTAATACAATAAAGTCTTTATTAATGAAGACCAAGTCTAAACAAATGTTTATCTAATAGTTAAACATGACTTAACAGCCTGATAAGTCTATTAACTAACTTCTTATATAAATTGTATTTTAAGGCAATTTAATAAATGAATGACTTATATAAATGACAACTTTACCTGATACACAGGCTAATGATGACTTTTGACCCTCTTTTGGAGACATTCTGCATTCCTCCAAGGATTGATGGCCCTTTATTTCTGTAACTACACAACTTGAAAAAACAAAAACGAAGCCAAAATAAAATTTAAAAATCTTAAAATTATTACCGCATGGGCATCCTTTGAACTTTGCAATCATATCGATGGAATTGGGTAAATTTTGGTTGTTTGAAGAACCCTCGATGGTTTTGTACATTTTATTTTTCTTTATATTCTCATTGCAAACTGCTCATGACAATTTAGCATTAATTTTGTAAAGTTTTTTTTATTATTTCTAGTATGTTACCTGATTTTACCCATGTCTTTTTGACAAGGGGTTCCGTCGTCGCTTGCCGATTAAAAGCACTGTAACATTTATTGGCATAACTTTCTTGGACTTCGATTCTTCTTTCCTTATGGGTGTCATTTATGGTAAGTAAAAATGAATTTTGGCCAGTCTTTGTCTTACTTTCCTTGTTTCCTTTGATCTGTGTGTGTGCTGTTCTCATGACTTTCCTCGTCAAGCCTTGGTTGCTCGAAGAAATTGAATTCAGTGATTTTCTGATAATCTTGTCTTTGTGGCTTTTCTGGACTTCATTTGCAAGGTTTGACAAAGGTTCTTGTTTACTTTTACCAACGTTCCCATACATGTCGGTAAGGATTTCTTCTATGGTCTGTCCCAAGATTTTCCCAGCGTCGAAGGAAGAAGATGGACCGTGCAATTGATGTGCTTCGGTTTCGTTCTTTTCCGACTCTTGGATTTGTCTCAGCTCAGTTTCCACAGGGTCAAATAATAAATTGGCTATTATTCTTTTCTTGAAAGGGATGCATTTAGACATCTGTCTGTTGACTTCAAGCGATTTGACAGCGAAAGTTGACCCTGTCGTCAAAGGCATTGTTTTAAAAGAAAATTTCTCATGAAACGGAGCTGATGGTCTTGAGATAGAAGATGAAGATCCAGCCAAAGTCATAGAACTGGAGAGAGACAAAGAGAGAGATGTAGAGTTCAATTCTCTCCTAGGCGTAGGCTTTTTCCGGATGTCGTTAATTTTTCTCAGAGTTTCATTTGTGTCGTAAGGATCTTCCAGTTCCAAAGAAGCAATCATGTCTTTTATAGCTGCTGCAAACCGCTTGCACTTACGCGGATTCCCCATCACAGCCATTTTATCACATATTTTCCAAATTTTTCTCGAACCGACTACAGAAGAGTTTCCAGTTCCATAAAACACCACGTGATAATTAATTTTCCCATTGGATTGTGTTGAAACGTACGATATTACCGCAGGCCATGGTCTATATCCTTTGATTTTTGCAAAAACTATTTCTCCGACTGAAAATTGTTGAGCCATTTTGAACTACACGAATTACACACAAATTATCATGAATAATTTATAATATTATCATCACCTCAGAACCACACTTTCAAGATTAAAGTCATTTTAAATTTACCATTAACTTTCAAAGATTGCACCCCTCCATTTTGACCCACCACCACACTATCTTTTTCCCTACTATTTGCCATTTCTCCCCCACCCACTCATATTCCAATAATGTTAAAAACTTCACTATTTGTGAATAGAAGTGGTATGTTCATTGTTTTCAGCTTGGTACTATCACTTTTCAAATATATTTGTAATAATCAAATGGCAAATTGTGTACAAGTTTGTCTTTTGATACATTCTCAAAAAGCCTTATTATTTTTCTTAAGCTTCTTAAAAAGAAGGAGGTCATGTAAAGGTCTTGTCTCCCAATGTGAAATTTGTCCAAAATGGGGGCCTTTACCTATGACTAGAGCCTCACATTCGTAAAGGATGTAAGCTGATCTACCTAGTTGCTAGTTCTATAATTTTCAAATATTGACTCCAGAGAGGGATTTCATTCCCCTTATTATTAGAGAAATTTCTGGTAAAGCAGACTGGAAGAATGGGATCCCAGTTAATGCCAACCATATCCTGTATACAGATTGCTCCAAAACCAAGTATGGGTCAGGAGATGGTATCTATGGTCTAAACCAAGGACTAGAATTCATTTAAGCCTTGGGCAATGTCTTTCAACTGGAGACGGTGGCTATTTAACACTGTGCTAAGGAAGAAGAAGAAGAAGAAAAATAATTATTCTGGGACAGGTATCCTCTTAGATTACATAGGTTAAAGAGAAAATTATTATCATTTTGACAAAAATAAAAATAAACCTCATCATGATCAACTTATTATAAACTGACTTATATAAAACAAAACCCAAAGGAGTTAAAACTAAAACGAATAACCCTGAAAATTAAGATAGAAAAATAATAATTACAGAGTAAATTTAAACGGTGGTTAAATAAATTCTATTTGGAGGGAAAGGAGGTGCATGTACAGGAGATGTTTGAACAGGGTAAGGGAAGCGGCATTGTGGATTTTTAGGAGGAGGGAGTTCTAGAATTTTGGTGCCTGAATGAAGGTATCGTTAACAGAAGAATAACCATTTACTCAGTCAGCCAGGAGGCACTGAGGGCAATTACCAAAGTGGTAGTTAAGTACAGTTGGTTGAGATTGTATTAAGGACTTGTCATTCATTGGGGAAAACAACAAAATTACCCTTGTCTGGGTAGCAGGGCACACAGGGCAGAGGGGCAACGAAGAGGCTGATAAATCAGCCTAGGAAAGTTCGATGACTTATTGGCCCTGAAACCTTTTGTGGCATACCAAACTGCCAAAAGCGTGGATCCACCGTGCAATGGATAAAATAAGTCCTCTGTTCAATGTGAATGTAGCCCAGGACAGAATCACAGAAAAAGTTCATTCACAAAGGACCAGAATGATGTATGGATTAGAATGATAGTTGGACTGCTCACTGCAAAGGTATATGTATAGACTCGGAGTGGCGGAAATAAACCTGTGCAGATTGGCAGGAACAAGAAGAGAGGAACTTGTCGTCTGTTGGTGTGAAGGCTTATGATGTAGGCTGAGGCTTCTTCACACAGGAGTCCTTAAAAAAGCTTTGGGATCTGGTGAAGAACTCCTACCTCTTAGTGTTCTTACGGGGGAGGAGGTCAAGTAAAGTACTCTCTCACATAACTAAGCACTTTCTCACCTCTTTGCGCACTCGTCTTGGTATAAAAAGTGCCCAAACCATATACTTGCCTCACATTCTCAAAGGATACATCTAGTTAGTTTCTAGATCTATAATTTTCCTCAAATATTGCCTGCAGTGAGCGAGTTCCTTCACCTTCTTTTTAGAAAGATTTATAAATCTCTTAGCTTGCCTCGTGAGTACTTTCGTCCATTTTGACAGCTCCATCTTTAGCACACTCTCCAGCCTCTAGTGTACTTAGTTGATCCCAATACCCTAAACTCCTTCTTCATTTCACTTTCACACAAAGATCCAAACTTCTGTTTTCAAAATTTCTACTTCCAACTTATCGACAATGATACTTTTTAACCTTTTTGCAAGGAAGAAATCATCCTTAACTGGTCATAATGGCCTAAATGGAAATTTTGGCAACATCTTCCAACATAGAAGATTTCACAGGACCAGAGTGACCTCTGTGGAATTACCACGCAAGCGAATGAAAATCTCAAGTGAAGAGATGGTACCATCGAATGCCTGGTAGAAATCCTGCTAAACTGGAACTGATAATGTTCAGCAGGAGAAGATCGATAGGCAATTTTAAAAACCCAAAATGTCAGGGTATTGAATTAAAATTAAAGGATTCAATCAAATTCCTTGGGATAACGCTAGATAGGAAACTTGATTGGAAAGGCCACATTAAAAATATACATAGGAAAGGCACTATATCCATGGTGCAGTGTAGGAGAATCNTTAACCCCTCGGGTCCTGGTCGCCCGCCCTGTGTAATATATATATATATAACCATCGAATGCCAGATTAAAACCAAAGACGACTATCTACGATCAGTGTCAAAATTAAGAAGATTCAGTCGGTCACAGTAAGGAATGTAAAGTGAACAAACTTTGAAAGTTAAAAAAAAAAAAAATAAAAAAAAAGTAGCCATCTCCTGCACACTCACCAGTAGGTTGATCTTTACCTCCAGGTTAGGATCCCAAACAAGAGAAGTATATTCTAAGTTCTAAGGGCAATGTAAAAGGTGACATGGGAATTGCAAAAGTCAGAAGAAAATTGTGAGATAAAACCCAAGTTCTTCAATGCCTTATTTGTAATATTCGATTTTTTTTTTTTTTGAAAATTTGCAGCAGCAGAGAGCATTTGAACCCTTGGGGGTTTTTATTTTATCCACTTCCTTAATAAGGATGCCATCAAGAGGTAGCAAAATTTGTCCAACTTTGCTATTTTATAAGATTTACTAAATTTTATGCATTTGCATTTTCCTGGGATAACAATGAGAAAATTTTTGGAACACCAGTTGGAAAAAGCGTCTATGTCATGCTGCAGTTTCCAACAATCAGCCAGGCTGGACACTGTTGAGTACAGCTTGAGATCGTCTGTAAGACAATAGAAGGAAGAGATAATTTGATATGAGCCTACCTTTCATAATATCTTGCATCTATGAAAAGAATTATAAAATTTTAAAGCAATACAATTTGATTTCTCTATTCCTGCTATGCGTTTCACTATTTTCCCACATTCAGGAGAAAATATTTATTAATCACAACAACATTATTGCAATTTAAGTAATTTGAAATTTTATCCTAGAATAAGTTTAATGACAGGGAGAAAAAATACTGGAATGCAGGTGGAGCAGGAAAAATAAAACATTTGATTATTAGAATCTTTTATTTTCATTACTATTCATTAGCAGTATAGTTTATTAACCCTTTGACTCTCATACGCAAATATACAAAGAAAACTATATAAATAATTTATCTGTTTACAAAATATCACTTCTGGTTTATAATTGAACAAGTTATATATAAAACTAAATGTTGTTTCAGCAGAGTACTGAAAAAATGGAATGTCTTGAAATTTACACAACCTAAATTTAATACATGTGGGTAGATTTGAAAATAAATGTTTGTACTACCTGATGTCTGAAAAAAAAAATGTATATATAAAAAACATACGTATGATTGCATCAATGCCAACTCGTGTAGTAGGCCTTAATAATCTAATACCTCTTTCCCAATAAAAAAGCTAGTAATTGTCAATAAAATTGATGCCTTAACAATCGAGATCTTATTATTACAAAGTGTAAGAAACAATTTTTTTTTTTTAAGATGTGACATAAAAAATGTAACATTGGCCTATTTAAGTGCATCCTAATCTAATGTGCTTTGAGACAAAATATCGTATAAAAGAAGCAAGACAGGAAATCAATGCCTTATTAGTAAGGCACTTGTGCTTTTACAGACCTGTGACACAATATTTACCCACGTTCGTTTAATAAGCTTAACAATTATATTTGTCTAAAAATAAATTAAAAAATCTTAAAAAAGAAAAAAGAAAAACAGCAATAGATGGAGGGAACCAATTAAAATTAAATGTGTACATTTAACGCTTAATAAGAAAACTGAAAAGATAGTTTTTTCCATGTGACATCTTGACATGAGAGTGAAGACTAAAAACATTTGGCATGCTTGAAAAGACAATATTTAGACAATTAATCGCAATTAAAAAGACAAAATTAAATTTAAACCCTATTAATTGTTTTTTAAAGTACATAATTATTTCCCATAGCTTCGAACAGTTGTCAAAATGTTTACTGCAACCCCCTTGAATTCAGCTTTAAAAACATTAAACATGTACAAAAACACATATACATATATGTATATATAAAAATTAAATATATAGTATATAAAATTAAAAAAGCTTCTAACATTATTAAATAATGCTTAATGATCTATGCTAAAATAAAAATATAACAAAAATATATTATTTATAAAATTTGTAGTCTATCATCAATTAATTATTTACTAATTAATTAACATGTATGATAACACATCTTGAACAAGAAAATATGGCGTTTAAATTAACTGGTACAGGATACATGCAAAGCTTAGCTTGAAACCACAACACAAAGTGCTTTAATTTTTAAATTAATGGGTACTTTAGGTATTTTATAAACAACTGTACAACACCACCTAAATCCTGCACTAATAAATACTTTTGAAATTCAAACAGACTATTTCTAAACACCTTTTGACATAACTTTTTTTTTATCAGTATGGCTTATTCTAATTCTGAACTGGTCCAATCACAACCCTCTCCTAATTATTAAAGTAAATTTCTTGCTTTTTTTTTGTATTTTTTTTAAATATATATATTTTTAAAACAGAATTCTGTTTGGATAAAAATGATAATTTATTAAGTCTTAAATGTGATGTTATAAAATAAAATATATATTTTTTTACTGTATGAAAAATATAATGAAGAAGTTCGTTAAGAATGAATAGTTATACTAGTTAACTTTTTTATTTTAGTGCTTCAAATGATTGAGAATTAAAAAAATTATTATTTCACTAATTCTAGCCATGTGTATATATACATATATAATAAAATGTGTATACATATACATACTTTGTGACAAGTCCACTTATTCACTTAAAGTTCACTTAATTTATTTCTTGTAGATAACTAGCTACATTGTAAGCTAGTTAGCTATTTAATTTTGTTTGCTTGAGAACAACATGAAATTCAAATTATAACTATTCATATAAAAAAATATTTGAGACTTAAATATATGTGACTTTATACCACTAGTTCTGAAAATCCAATATGTTGAGATTCTGAATCACTTTTAATTTAATAGGCCTTAAGTTTTTTTTTAATTTTTCAGATCTATATACATTTGTTTTTCCAATTAATAAACCACAAGGCCTGAATTTGTGAAGTAAAATGTTATCAATCAATTTGTTTGGTAATAGAAAATAAAAAAAAGAACTTAACATTTATCAACTTTTTTTTCTTTGTGGCAGTACAAATGTGAGAGTGCACAAATCGTAAGTAGGAAGCTCTGCTAAAGCACTGCACTCTATTTGAAAGACATAAACAACAAGAATTGACGCCTAATGCACTGAGTAGTACACAGTTTTTTTTTTGTATGCAAAAGCAATATATTCACACATATGTAGCAACAGAAGATAGTGTAGGTTGTTCATCTGACTTCTTTTTTTCATTTCCAGGGCCATATTGACCAATAAATGATCCATCCTCAGTAAATTTTCCTAAACAAGAAAGAATAATTTTAGTTTTTTGTCATAAAGCACAAGTACGAGGCATCAAAATAAATGGAATAATATTAATATTCTTATTTTATCTTAAGGCAGAATCACTTAAATTCATGCATCTCTAGGAGAATTAAACATCTGTAATTCATGCATCACACTTTTGAGTTTGTTTTAATTATAAATTTAATACAGTCAGCCTAACTTAAGATTGTGATTAAGTCATTTAATTAACTTACACTTTTTTTAAAAATCAATTGCTTTCTGTACAAGTTGTTTTGATCTAATTTTGCTGTAATGAGGGAAAACATTGGTGTCAAACATTTTTGCTAAATTCACTGGCTACAGTTCTAGTCAGACTGTTTACAACATGCTTTCATAGAACACAACAACACTAACAAACTGTGTAGTAAGCCTGTTCCATTTAAAAAATAAATAAATAAATAAATAAAAGAAAATAAAAATACAACATGAATCAAAAACTAGGAGGAAAAATCACTGGCATTGAGAAGATAAGCTGGTTCTATACAGTGAAACCCCTCTAATGAGCATGTGAGAGAAATGAGAGAGAGAGAGAGAGAGGAGAGAGAGATGTGGGGGAAAGAGAGTAAGAGAGATTGAGAAGCGGAGGAGAGAAGAAAAAAAGAGAGAGCAAAAGAGGCGGGGGAGAAAGGGAGATAGAGTGAGAGAGAGGCGAGGGAAAGGAGAGAGAGAGAGGGAGANGAGAGAGAGAGAGAGAGAGAGAGAGAGAGAGAGAGAATATGTGAGTGAGTTAGAGAGAGTATGTGGGAGGAGTCAGTGAGAGAGTGAGTAAATGAGAGGGAGTAGGAGAATGAGAAGAGGATATGTAAGGAGGGACGGAACTTCTGCAAAAGGAAAAAAGTAACGCTTAGAAAAGTATGCAAAATCTCCATAACAGCCGTGTCGAAACCGAAATTTAAATAAAACTGTGTTTATTATTTCTCAGTAAAGGATTACATGCCATACCTGGCCCAACCTTCCTAAAATGTTTTTGACTTTTTTTTTTTTTTTAACGATCGTAACAAATATTTTTTCATATGGTCATTTAATATATTTTTAATGTTTAATATTTTTATGTCTGTTCTAGATGTGTGAATTACGCTGATGGGGAATGACAGCAGTGTACATGAACAGTATGGAGGGGGTCCGTTATAGAGAGGGTTTAAAATGTATAGAAATCCTATCTTTTTTGCCGGTAATGCAAAAATTCTTAGTCTGTTTCAGTGTATTTATATTTTCCAGAGAAACTTCATAATGTAGGACATCCAAAATGTTAACATTCCGACAAGTTTTAACTTCTAAAGACTTTGAGAATAAGCTGCTTATTTATTTTTTAATTGGGTTTTTTCAATTACAAGGAGAAAAGTTGTGTTAATTAACCATTCAATTGATAACGTTTTTAAAACAAGCAGATATCAATGTTGAAGATTTGTATTAGAGATAATGCACATAATTTTTTTTCTTACTAACCATTGCTTACTTAGTCTAGACTAAAGTGGCAAAGCCACCCGATGCAGTCTCCCCTTGGCGCTTTTTTCCATACTGTCCAATGAATGATCCATCTTCGTTCATACCTTCTAAACAATCATGCAAACAACACTTAATTTACACATTTACATGCAAAAACAAAAATAAAAACAAATCATAATAAAAAAGAAAAAAATCACTCTTTAAAAAATTCCACATTGTATTTATTGGCTACACATTCACAATAAATCTAGTGCTTAAATAATCGAGCCAAAATAAAAAATAAACATAAAATTGTTTATAAATTCAATTTTATTGTTTAAAGTGAGAATTAAATCAATTACCGGTATCTCCTTCACCATACTCTGCCATAGAATCAGTGTCACTTTCAGGCGCACCCTTTGGATCACTACCTAAGGAACTTCTTCCATGAGATTTGCTATCTAACCTATATTCATAACATAAGTATGACTTTAGCAAACCGTAATTATTAAATTAAAATATTACAATACTGACGGTTGTGAATATTCGTGGAATCCTGCGTCTTCTGGGTAATCGTGTCGACCATGGGCTGCTTCTCTTTCGTGCACAACGTATTTTCCCCCTCGGTTCCTCTTTATTATACACACAAGAATGAGAACTATTAAAAGGAACGCTATGGCAAGTAACATTCCAATAAACCATCCAGCCGTAGCGACATTTTCTTTGGGTTGAATAATGGGACCTTCTGTAAATTGGAAAATAAAGTAAATTACCTCACCGATGCGTATTACTTGACCTGATCAAATAATAATAATAATAATAATGTGGCAGGTTTCTTAGTGACCTGTTATTTCATAATTTGTTGAAATCTTGAGGAGCAGTCAAGAATGAGGTAGTACAGAAAAACACCTTTTTCATTTTTTTGCTGACCTTTATTTGGGTCATCTTCAGAGTATAAAAGGTGGTGCTATTCTTGTGGTGTCATATTGGTTTTCTGTCAAAGTGTTGTGAAGTACACAGTCATATATTTAAAGGACTACTCTAAGTACCCAGCTTGGAATGCTAACAAGCTGTTTCGCGCTGACGTCAGGGATGCCCTCAGACTATTATCTGATCGGTCAGAGAGGGAAAGGTTGGATTTGCCCTTTATGACCCAATAGGCAATGTTAATAAGAGATTTTCTCTCCCCACAAATTGTTCGATTTTCTCGGCAGAGTCAATGGCAGTACTCATAGCACTAGAGTATATCCAGAGTATGAATGTTTTGAAAGCCGCGATCTTAACAGACTCAAAAAGCGCCATACCACATCTGGGCAATGTAAATGCTAACAGTAAGATTGACCACATAACGGTACATATACTGTTAAAATACAAAGATCTGGTTACCAGTGGTAAAGATGTCATTCTGTGCTGGGTTAAAGACATTCTGGCATTTGTGAGAACGATTTGGTAGATTTGTTTGCTAAACAGGCGGCAGCAAATGGATATCTTTGTGCGGCTGTCTGCCTGGCAGGAATACCACACTGGTTCAACAGGAGGATCTGTACACAGGTCAAGGTTCCCCGTGGTACTAAAGGCACCTTGGTTTAAAGATTATAGGGCTACTCGACATTATTATTCTACCATCACACGTATAAGAACAAATCACGGCTTATGGGGCGCGCATCTCAATAGAATAGGACTGAGAGAATCCCCAAATTGCACGACTTGTGATTGCAGGGAAGATCTGAACCATATAATACTAGAGTGCCCGGAGTACGAGGGAAGAAGAAAAGGTTTTATTGAAGATATTCATGCGTTGGAAGGTAGAAAGACCGTATTGTTGGGAGTCCCTGGTTACGACGAATAGGAAGGAAATCCACGATCTGCTCTATCAATTTCTAAAAGAATGTAACATCGAGGTGTGAGAACTGAGAAATTAGTAAGAATCTGTAGTTAGGAGCGTGGTTGTTACGGTGGTATGGCTGGTTCTCGGCGGGTTTGTACAGCGGGGTGGTTGGAGGGGGAGCAGGGTGTATTAGCCCCAGGTACCTCGTGAACGTACCCTTGCCACTCATGCTGGTTATGTTAGCTAATTTGAGAAGTCATGGGTAATATGATAACATAAAAAAAAAAGTACACAGTCAATATGACACCACAAGAATAGCATCACACTTTATGCCCTGAAGATAACTTGAATCAAGGTCGAAACATGGCAGATTTTTTTCCTAGACAATCTCATTCTTGACCACTCCTCACAAGTTTAACAAATTATTAATAACAATAATAATAATGTGAGAAGTATAGGGGCCTACAAACAGCTGAGGTCACCACACGCCCTCTGCGTGTTTTTACTTATTTTTCTGGTCTTTCAGCCGTATTTTTTAGCCTGCAACCGTTTGAGCATATCGATCTGGTTACTGACTCTCTGCTTTTATACATTTACTATGTCAATATCCTATATTGCTAGCCTCTTGTTTGTACCTCAGGTTGTTAACTACAGAATAGCTGAACAGACAATACGTATTCATATATCTCCACAAACACAGATGTCTGGTCACATTCATTTTCTTAGAGTACTTGACATTCCTCGGGGCGAGTTAAACAACCCCTTCCTTTCACACTACTAAATAACATTCGTTCAAATAAATTAACATAAACACAACACAGACACTACATGCATTTAAAGACCTGAGGTACCGGAACAGCAACCTGTGCCTGGCACCTACAAGGTCGTTTTCTGGTCAGAAGGTGCCTGTGAGTTTTTCTTGTATGACCTATGCATGCGCCATCCTTGTCAGTATGGCCTAACAAATTATATTTTACCCATCAAAGAATGTAGCACCTTTTTTCGTAAATATTGTTTTTCAATGCAAGCATTCATAATCAAAATTACCTTAACTTTTTCTATATAAAAATTTTAAATAAAAAAAGTGATTTCCTTCTACACATAATTCAACAATGTGTACATTTGCATGATTAATTCTCATAGAGAGAAGATAACCATTCCAGTTTTCGTATTCTTGCCAATTTTGTCTGCCAGATGCATTTCAGCTGTTCAGACAGACAGAATAATAAGACTAGAAAGATGAGAATAGAGAAAAGGATTATCACCTGGCAAAATTCAACACAAAAAGGAAGAACCCCCCCCCCAAAAAAAAATAAACTAAAAATAATTTTGTTTAAATTGTATGACATTGTCTTACCGACACTATACATTTCTACTTCTTCAGCATCTGATTCTGCGACATATTCCCCGTCGACCGATACTACTCTGAAGTCGTACGTTTCCGACGGTTGCAAACCCCTGATGATTACATAATCTTCATCCATGGTGTCAGGTGTTTTTTGGTATTGGGTATCACCCTTCAGCCTGATAAGAAAATAATTTATAAATCATCAAATATTGCATTTGTGAAGTGAATATAATTACTTGTAGTTGACGAAAAAGTGAGAACCAGGTTTACTTCCTTCAATGTTAGGAAGCCATTGAACTTTCACTTTTGCATAGCCGTTTTCAGATGGCAATCTAGACCATTTAAATTTAGGTTTATCCGGAGGTGCAGTTTGAGAACCTCTAGTCCTCTGTTCAATGTAATATCTAATACAATGAGAGCATTAATTTATTGTTCATACAAATGTATAATTCAAATATTGCAGGCTTACCCTTCTCCTTCACCAGCAGCAGTAGTGGCTTTAACATGAATTCGATATTTTGTGGCTGGTTCTAAGCCTGCTAATTTCACTCTTGTTTGTTTCGGGTCTGAAATAGAAGGTTCTCTTTCTCGAAGCGGACCCACTTTTGTCCCTTTCACATTTTGGTAGTATACCTGGCAAAAGAAGTTTATAAATAGTTTTCACATGGTAGAATAAACAATTATAGTCAAAGATCTTTAAGAAGTAGTTTAAAAAAAAGAAAAACTTGGACATAATCACACAGTAAACTTACGAGTAAAGAACCTCCACTAAAACTGACAAGCACAGGGTAAAACTCGTGGGAGTGATAGAACTACCAGACACTGACTACAAGTGGGTATATTCAACAATGATACTTGTACATTATGCCACGAGAAGAATGGAGACGTGTTATATTAACATTTAACAGGGACAATGCATATCTGTCCCACTACATCAATGAGAACCTCACTTGACCTTCCTTACCTATTACAAAAGGTGGTTTTTGAGAGTGCCAACAGACTCCTGAGGTACAATGAAATAAAGCCAGATATTAGGAAGAGCTACCATAAAATTCTAGAAGGAATTAAAACAATGAAATGGCTATAATGGTACATGACAAAAAGAGAGAAAAACTCAACTTTGAGTACCTAACCTTTTAGGTACATTTTAGCAAGAAAGGTAACCACGAGTTTTAGGAGGGGCCCTAATACGGTACAGATGGATCGAAGATGGAACATGGAGTTGATGTGGGGGTAAAAGAGCCTAACTGTACCTTAGCAAATCACCTTGGACTAATCCCCTTTCCCAAACTGAGGTACATGCAATACAACTCTGTACACAGGAGTGAATAAAGACAAATATGGAAGTTGCACAGATTTATGTACTCTCAGACAGTTAGGTAGCTATAAAGGCACTAAATGTGAATGCTTTCAATTCCAAACTTGTCTGGGAGTGCCTAAATTGCCTAACGGCTCTAGGAAAACAACAAGATTATACCTTATTACCTTAACCCATGTGCCTGGCGTGTCCTTCAGGACACGTAGTGCTTAGATTTATTTACAGACCATTTCCAATAGAAGAGGACATGCCGTGCTTAGATTTATTTACAGACCATTTCCAATAGAAGTCGAGCGGGGTGGTTTGGCCAAACTAGCATCTCTTATTCTTGGAACATGTCTCTACTTATTCCGATACATTTCCCCTTTCTTTTCTTTGCATAGTGCCTTTTTCTTCTAAACTAAAATCACTTCATTTTTCACAATGGATATCGATATAGAGTAAGTTTACGTTTTCTATTTTTTTAATCCTTTTGCATATTATCTAAAGAATGTCCATTCTACCTGTTTTAATTTAATGCAATAATTATATTCAATTTTCTTTTCTATTTACAAACTTTAAAAGTTAGTGTGTCTGTCAGGACACGCTAAGCACTAAAGCAGTTGGATCTTGTTTTTATTTATTTAGATCACAGATCAAATTCAAACTACATTAGATACATTTAATAGCTTTCACCCACGCCTACAATTTACACATGAAATCGAAAACAACAAAAAAATACCATTTTTAGATACATTCGTAATAAAACAACCAGATGGGACATTAATCACAGATTGGTATCATAAACCAAGAAATACAGATCGCTACCTCAACTTTACATCTCACCATCCCCTTCATACAATAATAAACACGGCCAAAGGGTTACTTCACAGAATGATTACCTTAAGCCATGAATCCTTTCACCACAAAAACATAAAGATATACAAACAGATCCTCCATAACGATCTCTACCCTAAACACATAATTAACAGAATAATCAACAACTACAACTCAACACTAACACCATCCACTAGTACTAATAATACTACATCAAATATATCAAATAGAAACAAACCAACATACATTTCCATGCCATTCATTCACGGCCTATCGCATAAATAAACACATTTCTCTCGTCCGATAACTTCAAAATAGCTTTCAAAAATTATAAAACGACTCAAACGCTTTTTTCCAAAATTAAAGTTTCCAACCCAATAACAAATAAATCTGACGTAATCTACAAAATCATTTTTTAACTGTCCGGCAACTTACGTCGTCTTACATCCCAATATCTGGATAAGAGAGTAAAGTAACATATCTATGATTGCAAAAAACCCAAGCAAAAAAATTGAATATATAAAATATATTTTGCATTGTATAAATTCACTTTTCCACTCCAAAATGTAATTGTAATATGAAAAACAATGTTTGTAAATCCCAGGCCCTGAAGATGATCTCAATAAAGATCGAAACGTTGGCATGATAAAGAAAATGTTTTTCTGAAACCTACATCACACTAGACCGCATCTCACGATTTCTAAATAAATATTTATTTATTTTTTTACTTAGTTAATTTGATTTCAGTTTTATAATAGGTTTTTATGAAATATTTCACTTCCTAGCGTATTTACAATTGTTTATAAATTATTTTAGACACTTGCAATCCTTACTTGGACCTAATTTGTCAGTACAAGAAGCCCTCAACATATTGTTTTTTGAGGAAAATAATGGAGTAGATAGACCTACATTGCTCCTCCTGATCCAGATATTTTAACTGATGAATATTCAGGAAATGAAGGTCATCTGGTCAACCTAAGCAGCCTAACCTTAAACTCTTGGGGGAAGGATCGAATCGACTGCACTAATCTAAGGAAATAGGAAAGTACTATAAGCCAGAAAGCTTCTGATGAACAGCCATTTGTTTAAACCCAGATGTTCATCCTTACAAAAAGCTCATTAAAAATTTAAAATTCTTATAAGTTTGTTCGATAAATTGATCTAACTGAATAAAAATAGGTACATAGAAATTGTTTGGATCAAGCTCAAAATATATTATCTACCTTGTATCCTGTAAGTACACCATTTGTCTGTTCAGGCTTTTTCCAGATGAGAAGCAAAGCAGAAGAACCCATTGGTATAGCCTCGACAAACTGGACCGTTCCTGGAACTATAATCAACTACATTAAACATGCTTCTAAAAACATCTTACAGTTTACAAAATACATTTTCTTTATAAACAACAAATAAACTATCGTGATAGAAGAAGATAGTAAATGAAATGTAATGCATGTTGTCATAATGGTGATTGAAGACAACACTTATAAATTGATAAGGAATTGTAGTAAGAAAAATAGGGAAAAAGGTAGAAAATTTGAATAAAAAAGATCGCATTTTTAATAAGTAAAACTTGCCTCCTTCCGGTGTGTTGACAACAATTGTTTCACTTGGTGGTCCATTGTATCTTGAATTATAAACAAGCACCCTTGCAAAATTTTTCGAATTTGGTACAAATTTATTTACAATAGCTCTGTTAACATGTCCTTCGATAAAATGTTCCCTTAAATTAGCCTCTCCTTCTTTTTCAGTCCATGTTTGAATCTATTTTATAAGGGGAAAAAGTTGAAATTTTGTAAAAAAACAGATAAACCGAAAACTGTAAAGTTGAAGCTACCTTGTATCCTTTAAAGTGGCCTTGTACTGAATTTGGATCGACGTGATTCCAACTCAACACTGCATCTGTGCTCGATGTCACATTGATAACTGTGAAATTTCCAGGCGCCTCGAGTGGTACTGTAAAAAGAAACAATTTTTTTGAACATTTATGCAACTGGAAGAAAAATGAAAGAAAAAAAAAATCCATACCATCTTCTCCTGAGTACCCTGTTACCAGCCTCGGAGATGTATTAGATTCTCCTTTCTCATTTATCGCTATCACTTTTATAAGATACGGATGGAAAGTCGGAAGATTAGGGACGAGAAGTGAATTTTGTTCCCAATCTAATACTTCTTGAGATATCCATTCCTCGCTTGTATTTTCTTTCTTCCAGGAAACCCTGTACTGGAATCTGGGAGCGTTGTGTTCAATCTGTGGCATTGCCTGAAAGACAGAACAAAATAAAGATGCGTCATAGTTGGGTAATAAATCCTACAAATAAGAATTAACTTACTGTCCAAGTAATAACCATATTATTAGGTTCAGTTCCTTTTCCTTCTACGTTATCTGGATTTTTATAGGGCACATCGGGTTCTGTTGTACAAACTTGGGAATGCGAGGAAGGTAAGGAAGCTCCGATTTTATTCACTGCTAAAACTCTAAACGTGTAATTAGCCCAAGGACTCATTATAACCTAAAAACATGTTTATTTTAAAACTAAAAATTAATTTACCAACGACATAAAATTATTTTTTAAAAATAACTAATACTTTGTATGTTTTATCTGTTGATGGAACATTTTCGTAAGCCTTTTCCCATACGTCTGGGGTGAATGTTGTATTGTATTCGATAATATATCGTAAAATTGGAGATCGATTATCGCCCATCGGCTTCCACTCGATATTTGCTTCCATTTTATTACACCTGATACCCACAAGATCGGGAGAATTGGGAACATCTATTAAAAATAAAATACAGGCTTAAACAAAAGTTCACAGAATAAAATTATCATTAAACACCCTAAACTGACCTTGTACTGTTAATGTTGCATGAGCTCTAACTTCATCTAGCGATGTGGATGCAACACATGTATACACTCCTGAATCCAATTCATTTGTTTTAGTAATCGTCAAAGAAAAATCGTTGGATTTAACAAATCTCGGTTCAGCTTCAAAATCTATCAGTTGATTGCTATTCAGCCAATTTATAGTGAGGTTTAACGAACTGTCTGAAACAGCACTACAACGGAAGGTCGCTGTAGAGCCAGCTGCAACTTCGAAGTCAGTCGGTTCATCGGTTATACGAGTATGTTCTAAAAGCAACAATTTTGACAATGAAGTTTAATCCGTTTATTAAATACTGGCGTTGTAAAATCACCTCTGACTACTAAGCTAGCTTTCTTTTCGGCCGTTCCAAATTTATTTGTGGCAAAACATGTATAATCACCGGCATCTAAAAAGTTGACTTCCCTGTATGTCAGAAACAGACAATATATTAAACATTTTATGATTAAATATAGTGAAAATAATAAATCGGGCATACTTGATTAATAAATCTCCTTCGCTTAAAATATTAAATCGACCACCAGTCAGTTCTGATCCTTGTCTTACCCATTTTACTTCAGGTTTAGGGGCACCAAATACTCTGCACGTAAGTGTTACTGGTTTTCCATTTACTACTTCCATGTCAGCGGGAGATTCCAATATCTCAGGAGCAAGAGCTGGAGAAAATTAAATACAACTTTCTTTATTATTATTATTATTTTAAAGCCAGTATAGTTATATAACTATATTAAAAACTAAGTAACCTACTATATTACAATATATATACATGTCAACCCTCAGGGTGTCAGTGTTTTTGAAATAAAAGCCCATTTGTAAGTGTGTAGGGTATGAAACCAGCAGCCCTTCATTTGGACCTGGGACAAGCCCCAGCATTTATTTATTTATTTTATGTAGATGCATTTATTTATTTTATTTTATTTTTGATATTTTTGACAAGTTCATTATGGGCATCATTCTGGAATGACGCAATAGACCCTTTCCCACATCAGAACGTCATTCCAGAACGACATTCCTTTTCTAGAAAACCTCAGCATTTTAAAGGTTGTTGTATGTAGGGTGTTAGAACTAATTTTTGAATTGAGTTGATTTGGTATCACTTTGTCAAATTTAAATTGAGCCTCGGTGTGCTGGTGTTCCATAGAAGAAACTTATTTTCGAAGGGGTTGGTATCAAATTCAGGGTCTCTGAGACCCGATCTCACCGGACCTTCCTTTCATTGAGGAGTGCTTTCATTGCAGCTACTGCTCCCCTTTTATACATTAGAAAAATCCAGAGGTGATGGTGGGAATTGAACTCACAATTGCAGGATCTACTAGTGGAGAGTCTGGCGCTTTAACCATTTGGCTACCGCAGTCCTCTCTTGTCAAAAGTACTGTGAAGACCATTTTTCAATTGGACCTTTTTAATTTTTTTTTTAAAATGCGATTTTTGAAAAAATAAAATAAAACAATTGTAAAACTATTTTTATCGCTGGTTTGCCAAAACTTATCTTCCCCCTTACAGACATCATTCCAGAAAAATTTAAAAAGACAATTTTTTTTAGCAAAATGTTAAGGGTAATTTATGAGCCTAAATAGATTTCAAAACTAAAAAAAAAATTGTTTGTATTTCAGGAGGTCTTTACAAATCGACGCCATAACTAACTTATTAAAAGGCTAAAGCGGGGAACACACCCAACGCAATGCTACGCAATGTGACCCGACACCTTGTCTCGTTTTAGTAGGGTGTGCACATCTATGCGACATCAATTGCACGCCACGTACAGTCACACAGCGTTTATCACAATCGCAATGCCTCTTTTGTTCTTAATGCCTTATTTTGAGCAAAATCATGTAATAAATTGTTAATTAAATTTAATTGTTTTAAATAAAGTTATTCCGGTGTTTTGATAAATTTTCTGCCAAACCATCATAATTAAATTTATATAAAAACTCACAAATTTTTGATCTCGTTTAATTTGGTTTACATTAAAATAAGCATGTTGTAATTAATGTTACGACAAAATTACATATACATAGTTTAAAATAAACTACAAAAATATAAGTGTCCAGATCTGACGCTACTCGACGAAAATTGTGTAATTTTATGAGCAAAACCATACAATAAATTGTTAGTTAAATTTTTATGAGCTTAAATTTGTTATGTCAGATAAGGTATTCCACTGATAGATGTGCTGCCTAAACATCATAATTACATAATTAACAACATGAAATAAATTGTTAGTTAAATTTTATGAGCAAAACCATGTAATAAAATTAAATTAAAGTTAATTAATTAAGTTAAATTCATTCTATCAATTAATGGTATTCCGGTGTTTTGATCAATTTTCTGCCAAACCATTAAAATTAATTTTTAAAAATAAAAACTCATGAACTTTTGACCTCATTTAATTTGGCTTATGTTAAAATAAGTATGTAGTAATTAATATAATGACAATAATACATATAGTTTGAATAATGAGTGTCCGGTTCTTTTGTCTTTGACTGTACTCGATGCTACACGACGAAAATCTGGACAATAGGGAACTTGGTTGCATCGCATGTGCACAGGGGTCATACAATCTTATGGAAAATTGGACATTGGATTTGCATCGGGTAGCGTCGCATAGCGTTGCGTCGGATAAGTGTGTTCCCTGCTCAAACAACTATGCGCTCATAAATATTTTGTTTTATGACATTTTTCTCATATCTTTTAGTTTAAATATTGCTTAAAGTAATTTATTTGTTTATAAAAAAAAAAATCTTTTCTCTAGACAGAGCAAAGAATCAGGATGTAATTTATAAGCTAGAAAGTTTGTAACTTTGCCATTCAAACCTTAACATTTTGCTGCAGTTAAAATGTTAACATTAAAAAAAAAATTGAATGAATACCTAGTACATTGATGTAAACATCCTTGTATACATATCCAATGCTGTTGGTGGCGTTACAACCATAATTCCCTGTGTCTTTCTTATTCAGTCTTTCAATTTTTATTGAATTTTGTGTGACTGATCTCCTTGGATTTGGTTGTGCTTGAACGATCGGTAAACCATTATGAATCCATTTTATTTCGGGTTCCGGATCTCCTGAAGCTTCACATCTTATCTCAACAGTTTCATCCTCTGCAGCATTGACTATTTCTGGTTCTACGGTGAAGTAAGGTGCAGCTGAAATAAATTCCATGAACTGATTAAATGTGCGCTGCCAATTATTTTTTTATTTTTTGGTCAATTACTTATGTACAATAATTGTTTAATTACCCAATACTCGCAGATTGATGCTGTAGGATTTTGCAGGGCCAACACCATTGCTCGCTTCACACATGTAGGCTCCTTCGTCTTCCTTTTCAACATGTTTTATAACTAAACTTTTACCAAAATTGCCTTGTGTTAGTCTTTCAGATAATGCTACAGGATCGCCATTCTTGAACCATAAAATATTTGGTAAAGGCCTACAATGTCAAAGCACGATTTAAAAAAAATAAATAAATAAAATAAAATAAATCACTCATTTTACAAACTATTAATTTTACTTACGTTCCGCCAAATATACAATAAAGTTCCACTTTAGATCCTCTTATAGCGACTTCATTTTTTCTTGTAACATATTGTTGAATAGGTTCGTGCATAAATTTTCCAGGTTTTGCGGAACTGAATTCCACTTTTAACAGAACACGGTTGCCAAGTTTATATTCGTTTCTGTTATTAATTAAAACAAAATAATAAAGGAAATGCAATCTCAAAATTATATTATGTAATGCATACCTGTATAACGATGTTGCTGCGCATGCATATGCAAAATCCTCGCTCGCATCCGTACGAGTTACATTTGTAAACCACAGGTTGCCTTCTGGGTCTACAGTCATTCTTGAATTGTTTATACTTTTTATACCACCATCGCTAGTCTAGAAAATTACATTCATGATTTGTATGAATACAAATTATTTATTGTAAATGTACAAACCTGTAAAAGCCAATACACATTAGGTTTTGGCCAACCATCTGGCGGTTGGCATGTTAATTTGAAAGGATCCCCTTCAACCGCAACTGCCGTTAGTTCTCCTTGGTCTTTAAAGGAGTTTAACTCGGCTTTTCGTACAAAAACGGAATTCGATGTTGCAGTCCCCCAGTCATTTGTGGCAAAACATTGATATTGACCTGTGTGAAATTTAACCATAAAATAAATATAACAAAAGTTAATCATTTTATTTTCAAAACGTACCTAGATCTTCATCTCTTGGGGAACTTATAACTAATGTTCCTCGTCCGGGTTGCTGTGATATTCTATCATCGTATGATTGCCAGTCGAAATTTTTTCCATTCTTAACCCAACGATACCTGGATAGTAAGGTAATTAATTAGAGAATTTAATTTTAAAAATTACTTCAGCTTGTTCATATTAAAAAAAAAAAGAAGACAAATGAATGATAGATTGTATTTTGTTGTCAAAATATTTCCTTCATTAATTCTGAAATTTACAAAGAGGTTGATTTAAATATTATTTTTCATATCGGAGCTATTTCTCCTCGTTTGATTATTTTGCCTGCGAAATCGGGAATGAGTGTAAGGATTAATAGGTTTTACAATCGATACGCTAAATATTTGATTTTTATTAACTAATTAAGGGTTAACTAATTAAGGGGTTAGTTAAGAAGTTGATTTCAATATTATTTTTCATATTGGAGCTCTTTCTTTTGATGTATTCGATAAACTTTTATTTTTGCTAAAAACAATTATTTGTCTTCAATAAAAAATAATATACCGATATTTTATTAATAAGTTATATTAATTTTGAAATTTACAAAGAGGTTTAGTTTCCATCAGCAATTAACCCTTGATTAAGGGTCTTTAATTGTAACGGTATTAATTTATATCAACAATTTCTAGGAAAAAACGTTTATTTTAATCATAGTAATTTGTTCAGGCGTCTTACTCACCTAGGTGCAGGTTCACCTTCAGCTTCACACTCGATCAAAAATGGTTTTTCATTTATCATCCCTTGTTGGGCATAGACCTGAAATAAAAGCTCATCTGATGGAGGTTGCTTTACAATTCTCGGAGGTGACTGGTCTGTAAAACAAAACAAAACGCAAGAATTAATTATCTATTCTATGAAGAAATAAAAAAAGTAACAAATTTAAAAATATAAAAACAATCTAGCACTGGGATGCGAAGAATCAATTAGTGGGGACCCTTCTATTAGCGACTATGTCTTACTGCCCTCCAGATCGCAAGACCACTTGCACTTCAACTTTCTAGCGATTATTGCAGATAGAACGTGATGCTAAGTTGAAAACTAAGGGATTGGGGTGTAACGAAAGGGATTTGCTGAATTTTGTATGATTGGATATGTAGAAAGGAAGGTTTTATATTTTTCGGAAGATTTTGGATTGGTAAATCTGGATCGTCTTGTATATCAGTCGTTTGTTGTGCCTTTATTGATGTGCAAGGTAGTGGTTAACTGTAGGAAGAGGATTAGATGGCTCTTGTCATTTATTTGAAGGGTATTAAAAAAAAAATCAAGAAATCCACGGTGACGTTTTTATTTTTTGGACATTTAGGGTTATTGGCCCATCTTCAGCATCCAAAATGGGGCAATTCCAGCTTAGTCTTCTTTCTGTCAGAAGAAATGTCCATTGGTTCATGAGGTGGTAAACAGGAATTTGCTCAATTTGGCAGAAAATGGGCCAATAGCCTGAAACATGGATTTCTTTGATTTTTTAACACGCTTCATCCAAGAACCATGGATAATACAATAAAATAAATATTTATTTGCCTCCTTTTCAGCAATAACTGGAGCCTGTAGGAAGTGTTATAAGAGGATCGGATATTTATTGGAGAGTATAAGTAGTTTCATCTGCAAAAGTGTTGTGATGGGTTTGGGAATCAGTTATGAGACCAAGTATATGACCCTGCTGGACTCCAGCCTTAACAGAATAGCCAGAGATGGATGCCCCCTAGCTGACCTGAAACAAGCAGTCTGTCAGGTATAATCGGAGGATGAGGAAAGGTCAAGAGACTGATGCTCTTGAGCTTCCACAGCAAACCCAGATGACACATATTGACTGGAAATTGCCCGAACCAACTTCACAGCAGTCAACTCGTCCAGACAGGTTCGCTAATTGTTCTTCACATCAGTCGCCTAGTTGAGTCAACTGAGTTCACCACAGAAAGCGTTATCATTACAAGTTTCAATGGGGGACAGTTCATCGAAGAAATCTGTGTTAGTCCCTTGATATGGGACTTGAAATGTAAGGAGTATAGCAACAAAATTAAAAAGAGTGAGTTTTCGAATGTTTCCCAGTTTTTGCTTCTCTGCTTGCTGAAAAATAAGCACAAGAAGTGCTTCCTCGGGCTCCTGATCTCTCGGTGAGAAGAGAAACAGAATCAACAATTCGCCTGGTGTGAAACCAGCCCAGGGCAGTCAATTAGTTCCATGTTACTTAGTTCAATCAACCAAACCGCCTTGCCTGAAAGTGGCCTTACGCTTTGGGATCGTCTTCATAAGGGAAAGTGAGTAGTCCTTAGACAACATTACAAAGATACGTTAGGAAGAGGATTGCTTTTTAAAGGAAAAGTCGATGGGCTGGACCTCTGTAGGATGAAAAGCAGAAGGGAATTTTACACCACTGATAGTAACTCTTTCCCGTATTCAACGAAAAAAATATTGTAAAAAAATGGCAGTATATCCTAGTAGTCCAATTACTTTGGTTTCACAGGGAAAGGAAAATGAGGTAAGACCAATCCAGTCAGTTAAATTACTTCATTATATATTATTGTAATTCCATTTGTGTATTGCATTTCCCGACCTTTAGACAAGAACGTCACAATATTATAAAATCTGTCTGTCAAATAATTTGCAGCATAGAGATTGCATCCGTTTCCATTTCGAGCTTGTGGGGCCATAGACTTGCCTATAAATCGCGAACTTACAAAGAAATTCACATAATGTATTCAATGCCCGTCCAGACAACGTAAAAACTGAGAATATCAATGAATTGAAAGTCTCTGAGTTTCTAGTTATGAAATGAAACGTGAAAGAACGAATTACTTAAGTTCAACAGATCTCTAAAATTCAACCATTTTGTTAAGCTAAAACTTTTGACTTAAGGGACGTGCTTAAGTTCAATATAACTTTAAAATTAAACCATTTTGTTTAGACCGAATAAAAAGTATTGGTGCCCGATTGTCCAATAGAGAACACACCAGCTATTTAAAAAAAAGCTTTAAAAAAAGCTAAAACCTTTGACTTAAGCATAGTGCTTAAGTTCAATAGGTCTTTAAAATTAAACCATTTTGTTTCACTTCAAAGAGACCGACAGATGAAAAAGATGTATTTGAGAATCATTCTATGTAATAAAAATTATTGGTGCCCGATTTTCCAATAGAGCACACACCAGGTATTAAAAAAAGAAAAAAAATCAAGCTAAAACTTTTGACTTAAGCATGGTGCTTAAGTTCAAAAGATCTCTAACAATCAAATAAAAAATAAACGAAAAGTGCCAAATATAAAGGCATATTGTTCCTAACTTTCTACAAAGGAACAAGTATTGACGTTTTGAGATAAGAATTCGTAGTAAAAGCACCGGGTGGGGATTGACATTTGAGACTATCCAGCAGCTTATGCAGTAATATTAGAGTTAAGAGAGTTAAGTAATGACTAATCGAACTTCATCGATAACTGACTCGGCTGAACAAAATATGTAATCAACACGATTTTACACAGTTCACTAAGTTCAAGTTCGTTTTGGAACAGGTTGTTTTAACGTTTTTAAAATAAATAAGGGGTCATTTTCAACCATGTTTAATAGTAATAAAGAGCACATACAGTTGATGGACATAGATGATCTTCCGTTTCGAGGGCAGTTTATAAAGACTTTTAGGGAGTATATGGGAGAAATTCTTTTATATTAATCAATAGAGGAACAGATCGAACATGGGGGAGCAATGAACTTTTCCAGTTCATACGTACGCACATTCTATCTGGTGACTGACTAACATCCGTACATTACTGCCTTTGATGGGTGAAGTTTCTTCAAATCTTAAGAGAAAAAGCAACCAAAAACTGACTAAATCAAATGTTTAACTAACGAACTATACATATATTTTTTATTTTGTAGGCAGTATGTACAGTACATATAGAGTAAGACCAGTTTCCACCAATACACACACATATTCTTACTAATAAAGAATACAGTGCTCTCTTTCTAATCCGAATTTCTGTACACAGAACATTCCAATAATCCGAACTGTAAAAAATTCAAGAAGTCAGAATTATAAAGGAAACAAATGGAACACAATTTGGGGGGAGGGGAAGGAAGGAAAAAGGCGGGAGTGGAAGAGGAGGGTAGTGGAAGGGAGAGAGAGAGAGACTGAAAGAAAGAGAGAGAGTGTGAGTGTGAGCAAAAATGATAGTAAGTGGGTGAATGAGAGTAAAGAAAGAAAGAGACAGAGAGAGATAGCAAGTGAGTGTGATAGAAAGAGAAAGTGAGTGAGAGAGAAAGAAAAGGTGAGAGAGAGAGAGAAGGTGGGTGAGTGAATGAGTGAGAGATATTAAGTGAGTAGATGAGAATGAGAGGTAGCAAATGAGTGAGCGCAACGGAGTGAGAGAGAGAGAGAGAGAGAGAGAGAGAGAGAGAGAGAGAAATGAGTGGGTGAGAATGAGTGGGTGAGAATGAGTGGGTGAGAATGAGTGGGTGAGAATGAGAGGTAGTAAGTGATGAGCGCGACGGGGTATGAGTGAGAGAGAGATACGTGAGTCAAGGTGGGTGAGTGAGAATGAGAGATAGAAGATTCCTGAGTAAATGAGTGAGTGGGTGAGATTGAGAGAGAAGATGGGTGAGTGAGTGAGAGATTTCTTTTGCATTAGAACTTTTAGTTTTATCTTGCATATGTATTTTATAGTCATCATTAAGCCGAGAGGTTCATAAATTTTGCAATAGTAGATCCGGTAATTTCTATTTCTTTAACAATAGAACTAGAGTATTTTTCCATGACCCATCAATACTTCTTACATGTATATTATATAAGTCGTTGATTCCAAAGGAAGTAAGGCTTATGATACAATTCTATAAGCTTTAGTAAAATTTTTCATTTTTTTAAATGTGAACAAATATGTCAAAAAGACGCTGCTTAGCATTGATTTTGTAGTAATAAATCAGGCAATTCAAAAGTTAAATAATACTTATGAAATTTTAATAAATTTAGCATTTACTTCAAATCCATTTGAGGCTTATTTTTTTACTATTTTACAAGCAAAAAACAACTAAAAACTAGTTTAACTAAATCTAAATCAAACTCAATTTAACTAAAAGTTAAACCGTAAGAAAGTGTCTTAACATAAACCTGTTTGTTAGTAAAGGAAATTTCATTTGGATAATACACAGATCACATAGCTAAACAAATGGATGAATTTTTACAAATGTTGATGAACAAGACGTCGTAGATTTCCTTGAAATGGTAGGTACATAAATTGGTAGGTATATAAAGAAAGGGTTTTTAGAACCAAAACAAGACCATTTCACAAATGAGACAATGATGGATTCTTTAACAGATTCAGAATGTTAACAAAAATTCTGTCCGACATATTCGAGGAAAGAAAAATAAGTACAAACAACAAAACTAAACGAAAGTCTTCGGCAAATGGTACAACAACTAATGTAAACAATGAATAAACACTATCACTAGCTATAATCGTACAAAGAGACTACAATCAGTTCTATCAACTAGTGGTTGAACTAGGATCAGTTGAACGGTGGTCCTTTACAGAGGTGCTACGCTCCCTTCTTTGAACTTGGTTTAAATTATAAACGGCAGTTCAGTTAACACGGTTAACACAGTGACTGGTGCACGGGCCCTAAGTCAGTGAGTGAATGAGAGTGAGAGAGAGGTAATAAGAAGTGAGTGAGTGAGTAAGCGAGTGAGTGAGTGAGTGGATGAGAGAGAGAGAGAGAGAGAGAGAGAGAGAGAGAGAGAGAGAGAGAGAGAGAGAGAGAGAGAGAGTGCGTAATAATAAATGTGAGTGAGTGAGAAAGTGTAAGAAAATAAGAAAGAAAGAAAAAGAGAGAGAG